AAAAAAAAAAAAAAAAAAATCATTTTTTGAGCCTTTATGAGAATCTTTCTAAAATGTATTATTTCTGTTATCATTATTTTTATTAAAGTAATTATTTTTTGCTGATGAAACATGATCATAAAAATCTGTTATTTTTACATACTTCAGTGAGTGAAGAAATAGACCGAATGAGTACTGATCTTTGGATTTTTTTCTGGCAGCCAGTCTTGAAAATAATTCTTTAATTATTTGCCCTTTTTAATTTGTTTTTTCCCCCTAAAGTCTAGTGCAGGCAGGATCTAGTTCATTGAGGATTGTGACTACTTAAGTTCCTATTTATTTAGTTTCATTGAAATAAGAAATTGAGACATTGTTATTTTGGATGCATCTTCTTTATGATTGAGGAAAAGAGCAAATAAAAAATTCTTAAGAAATAAAAAGCCAATAAAAGATACTTTACGCTAAGAATATTAGAAAAACAGACATTGCCCCAGGGCCTACGTAGCAAAAAAGTAATAAAAGATAACTCTTAGGCCCTAATGTCTTTTCTCTCCATGTTAATGGCCCTTCTGGTAATGTGTCTTAGCTAGGGGTAGTATTCAAAATATTTTAGCTTAGATTGCCCTACCCCAACCCCAAGAAGTCTTCTTTGATGAGAAAAGTCTAGAGATAATTTATCCATTCAACAAATATCGTGTTCCTGTCATAAGAAACAAAACCTGTGCCCTGAGCTTAAGACGGCTGCAGCCCAGTGTAACACACAGTGCTCAGCAACCGTGGTGTGAGAAGGACCAAGTGCCATGAAGCCACGTAGCACACCCAGGAGTTGGAGAAGGAGGCCCTGAGGAAGAGATGTCTTAGTTTGGTGCTCAGGGATGCCTGGCCTGGTAAAAATGCAAAGGGAGGACCTTCCAGCCTGAGAGCTTAGGCACAGAGCAAAGGAGATTGGCTGGTTTCATTTCTTGTGTAATCAGGATATTCAGGAATTTATTTGGAGCCACTGGCAGTTTATCGACCATCTTTACAAAAGATATGATTTTACAACCAAATAAGTTGTGCCTTATTTCTCAGAAGGACAGTTCACATATATCCTCCCTTGTTCTAAAAGGATTTTTACGAAAACACTTTTCATGCCTTTGTAGCTTACAAAGACATATGAAACACAGAAGGATGGCATAAATTAAGAGTAGGTGATAAGAGAGACATGCTGTTTTTTAAAAAACATAGTTACAACAGAGTTACATACTATGATGCCAATTTATTTAAATAAACAGATGCATATAGGCATAGAGAAAGACTGCAAAAATATTCCCAGTTTGTTTGGTTTTGGTTTTTTATTTTGTTTTAGCTTTTCTATGTTGTCCAAATATTATAAGATAAATATGAATTATTTTGCAATTATAAAGTCTTTTTTATAAAGTAGGTGAGAAAGGTGTAGGAATACACACACACACACACACACACACACACAAACATATAAAGGCAAAAGCTCAAAACCATATTCCATAAAGTTAAATATGTTTTTGATAAATGAGTCACAAATAGGGCCCAAGCTATCTAATAGCTACTGTGAAAAGGAAAACTTGATTAGCCACACGTTTCATACTATTCAAAATTAAAAGAAACCATGTGTTCAGGACAAACACTGACATTCCTGATAGTAATATCCAAAAAACAAATCTCCCAAAGTTCTCCCTAAGACACTAAAAAATAACATACTCATAAGCATTACAAAAGTATCTTGACTTTCTATCTAACCAAACTTTTGATGCCCACTGACTATAATAGAAGAATAAAAGAATAAAATACAAACCATTTTATAGTTCATGTCACATGAATTGTTTGATTACTAGGCAACTATTGCTAAAGTGATTTTATGTTGTGACTTTTTGATTCACATACCCATTTAAGAATAAATAACAAGTGTGGGTTACACATAATTTTTATAGGGCTTCATTTATTAACTAAAAGAAATTAAGTAATTTGCCCTGATGTTGAAAAATTTCAAGATGGAATTATGAATATGTATTTAGTATGCTGAGTTCAATAATTCAGACTGCATTTTCCAAGAGAGTGGTGTTCAGTAGTCTCTTGTAGTACTGTTGGGCTCAGAATGGGCAAAGCTCACCCTGAGGTGGTGTACATCTGGGGCTCAAGGCATGTCTGCCATGATACAAAGCCATATCCAATGGCATTTGAGACCCAGCCATTGATGACTACAGGGGCAATGCCTTCCACGGGAGCACAGAGCTAAAAACCTGCTCCTAGAAATCTCGGTCAGGGGAACACTAGAACTCCTCATGTAGGAACCTCCCCAGTCTGAACCCCAAAGATTCTATGATTATACTCAACTTTTATGAAGATTTTTTGAAGAAGACAGATAATTTGTTCTCCACCTCTGTTGAAATCCTAGGTCACATTGCTATGGACTAAATGTTTTTATCTCCCCAAATTCCTACATTGAAGTCTAACTCCCAAATGCAATGGTATTTGGAGATGAGGATCTGTGGGAGGTAATTAGCTTATGAGGGTGGAGATTTCATGAATGGAATTAGTGTTCTTACAAGAAGAGACATGAGGAAGATGATCTCTGCTCTCTGCCATGTGAGAACACAATACTATGCAAACCCAGAAGAGGTCCTCACTAGACACCAGATTACACTGATAATCAGATTATCTGCCAGCACCTAGATCTTGGACTTTCCAGCCTCCAGAACTATAACAAATAAATTCGTGTTATTTAAGCCACCCAGTCATTGGTATTCTGTTATAGCAGCCTGAACTGAACTAAGACACACATATAAAGTGTAATTGTTTTGATTATTTTTATCTACTCAAAGGATACTATTTTCCATATGAGATCTTGGCACCAAGTTTAAACTTAAAATCCAATGTTTCAACTCAATAAGAACTTAGTGAACACCTACCATACTTAAGACATTCTGTTAGGTGCTATGGAGTACATGAAGACAAGAACACAAACATGTGACTTTCAGAAATAATAGTGATTTCTTTTCAAAATATAAATGCTAAAAAAATTATCAGGCCCACATTGTGCTATGCTCAATATTGGAGCTTCCACATTCATATGAGAATCAGATGCAGAGACACATGTTGCATGACCTTATGCTGAAGAACAGGATTAGTTCATCTTAAGAGCTCCCCAGAAACAGAAAATCCCCACTGAGGTTTCAAGCAAAGCAGATCCCACTCCAACTGAAAGGAACAATGAAGTAATATTTTTACAAGCTGGGTCCCCAGTAGATGCTGTTAGATATATCACAGTGGTTCTCAAAGTGGTTCTTACATCTGCACTGAATTAGATGCAGGTAATTAAGAAGACAAAAGACTCCAGGAAGTGCTCTAGTCACACAGCTGATTAGCACTGAGTTGGGATTGGAAATCAGATACTCAAAATTTGGTGGCAACAGCATTAGTATTATCTGAGAACTTAGAAATGCAAATCTCAGGCTCCATCCAAGACCTACCCCTGGTTGGGGCCCAGCAATCTGTGTTATAAAAAACTTTCCAGATGGTTCTGATACATGCTAAAGTTTGAGAACCATTAATCAACCATGAAATGGAGAAGATTTTAGTTGAGACTTGATTTTCTGAACCTGTTCTGATGCTATACCTCAACACTAAAAACCAATTATGGTATGGCTTCCAACCCCATATTCTTCTCCCCAACTCTTAGAAGAGTTCACTTTAGCTTCCGAGAAAAAGCAAAACCATTTTCTCCCTCACTGATCAGCATGCCAGCTTTTGTTTTAGAACCATGCCTGCATTCTGCATTGAGATCTGAAAAGATCTCTAAGATCTTTAATATTCCACCAACACATGGGAAAATAAACCGCTGAAAATGTGTTAATGCCTTTTTTTTTTTTTTTTTTGCTTTGCTTTTCTGGGATTGAGTTACTGAAAACAATTCATAGAATTCTGTAATTCTGAGCTCTATGGACTTATAAGAGATCTACTAAAAAGGTCATAAACTCTAAGCAATTTGATAAATGAAAAAAAGAATTCAAGCTACGACATGAATGCCAGTGGCCCAAGTGGCTTGTGATTAAAACATGATGTTGACTTTTCATGATTTTTGTAGCTAATTAGAAAGGCTTAAGGCTTGGCTTATCAGCATCCAAGAGACCCCCGCCCCAGAGGAACCAGGGGTGCATGCAGTGGTTAATGATAACCAGTTTCTACTCCAAGTGGAAATCTACCACACTCCAAAGGCTCATGTACAGTAAGGAGAAGGACAATTGCTTCTGAGAGACAGAACAGATCAGAGTTGAGGATATAATAAGGCCATATATGACATTCATTTGCCCACTTCTTCCTGCATCCTTCATAACCAGCTTAAGTCTCATCAACTCCACAAAACCTCCCTCACTGGCCTTTTATTTCCTACAATCCAAAGCATGTAGTCTTCCAGACACAGCATAGTGGTTGGGAGTCAGAACAGTCACTTAGTGAGTGTACAAGGTTAGACAAGCTCTTAATCTCTCTATACCTCAGTTTCCCCATCTTTAAAAATATGGCGAATAATAATACTAACATCATAGTAGTTGGTTTTTTTGTTTGTTTGTTTTTAAGTTTTGTTTTGTTTTGTAACAGTCTCACTTTGTTGCCCAGGCTAGAATGAGTGCTGTGGTGTCAGCCTAGTTCACAGCAACCTCAAACTCCTGGGCTCAAGCAATCCTTCTGCCTCAGCCTCCCGAGTAGCTGGGACTACAGGCATGCGCCACCATGCCCAGCTAATATTTTCGATATATTTTTAGTTGGCCAATTAATTTCTTTCTATTTTAGTAGAGACAGGGTCTCACTCTTGCTCAGGCTGGTTTCGAACTCTTGACCTTGAGCGATCACCTGCCTCAGCCTCCCAGACTGCTAGGATTATAGGCGTGAGCCACCACACCAGCCTGTTTTAATTATTAAATGAGATAACACATAGAAGATGCCTAGCAAATTGTTTAAGTAAATGTTGAATAAATGGTGCTATCACATTGTCATTATTGTTCAAATTTGGTTTATATGGGATGGTATCACCAACTAGAATGTAAGTTCCTGGAGAATAAGCAATGTAGCTTTGTGACTTTTTTTATAAAAAAAAAGAAAAGAGGAAGGGAGAAAAGGAGGGAAAGAGAGAAAACCATTCAAAACTCTCCTACCAGTTGGCTGATTCCTAGAATTACATTTGTGGAATTTTATTCCTTTATTTTAGGTTTCTGATCTCATGAGTCCATCTGGTTTTGCAAACATCTCATCCCTTAGGATGAATGTGAGATCTGAAAGTCACTTTTTATTCAAATTCAGAGACAGAGAATATGTAAGAGTACCAGGAATATGGTAAAGGGCAAAGAGACAAAAACAAGAGAAGAGGGTGTCCATGCAGCAAAGACAGGCCTGGCCTATTGCAAAGTTCTCTGAACTCTGACCACTTGTAGCAAACTGGAAGCTACTATGGGAACCAACTTGTCTCTTAATCCTGATATGGGGGTCCCAGAGAGAAAGCCAAATAAATCAAAGTTCCTCGGTTCTCTGATGGGAAGCACCTCCCCATCACTGTCTCTAGACATTTCTCTCTTTTGCTTGCAGTTAGCTTCTACCCAGAGAACTCAGAAAAGGAAAGGTAACCCAGGGCTACTACTTAATATGTCATCTGTGTGTTTGATTTTATTTTGATTCATGTCATTCTGCCACTGTAGGACCCTCTATCTGCCCCAAACCCTCCCCAAAGGACCAATTAGAAAGTAGCCATATCTTAACTCCTCTATTTGACTCTTCAAAAATAAAGGTGATTTTAATAGGGCATTTCTGACAGATCCTTTTTTGTTTCAATAAAATGAGTAAGAAACCTCCTTCATCTACAGAAACCAAAGGTATCACTTTTGTCAATCTCTCACCTCCTGTCCACAGTTACAGCCCTAAAAAACAGAAGGAAAACTGTTCTTCCAAAGTCTCCAATAACCAGAGAAGATGATGCTTCTGAAGGCTGGCAGGTCCTAAATGACAAGTTCTGGAAACAGAGACACTGGACTGGCAGCAGCACTGGAGAGTTGCCAACATAAAGCTACTAACAAAGGGGAGGTAGGAAAACAGGCAGCTTCACAGCTTGATGGCTTCTCCAAGTGCAGGGCTCGAACAAGGGTCTAAGCCACTAAACCAGCAAGAATACCAGGTATAATCCAGTGTTGGAGTTTTGTTTGAGCAGTTTACTTCATTTAAGAAAAAGAAAACTAGGTAGAAACCAAAGATACCCACATGATTATTGCTTCAGGGATATTTTCAGAATTCTCCCAGAAGCAGTAAGATTAAAGCAAGGCATAGTCAATAGATGTTCGGTATTTTGATGGTTGTTCACAGCTTTGTTTCTTTGGTGTCATGGACAACATGACTGCTCCAAAGAAATTTCCTATCCCTGATCACAAAGTCCTAAGCCATTGGTCTACTGCTGCTTTAGCATGCTGCCTAACATCTATAGCCTAGTTCAGCTGTGTTAGGGCAAAGCAAGGGAAGGGAGGAAGGTACATTATTCACTGAGCATCTTCTCAGTTTGGGGCTCATAGACCCATTTTATTCTTTCAATCATCATGAAACCAAAATGACTGGATGTCCTCAGCTTCAAGGTATATACCTTGATATCATAAATTATGATGAATCCAAATTCTCACTCTTAAAATTATCAGACTCTTGTCTTTTCCTGAAGTCACCTTCTCATGTGTCCAAGAATCCCCAAATATGCTTACTAACCTCCTGAATTAATCCTAGCCCATCTCATAGGCCATAAATGCTGATGGGCCTAGAGCCTGGACAACTCCACAACTGCTAGCCCAGAGGTTGGTTCCTACAGAAACCGATGCCAGGCTGCTATCATGGCCCACAATTCCTGCAGTGCACCTGAACTTGGTAGACCTGCAGTATTGTGACTCACAAAGAAGAAATAAGTCTTTTGGGGATTCACTTAAGTAAAAATGGAAAGGAAAAAAAAAGATTAAATGAAGCAAGTCTTCCAGTCAAAATTTTAACAGATGATTTTGTGGGACTTGACAAGGTGATTTTAAAATGTATAGGAAAATGTAGTGAGTTAAAAGTAGCTAAGAGACTCTCAAATAAAAAAGAAAAGGAAAGGTAGGATGACTTGCTTACACAGGTATAAAATATCCAAACACATTCCAAAGTTATGGTGATTAAAATAGCGTGGTCTTGGCACAAAAATGTACAATTATATTGATAGAATAAGAAAGAAAGCTCCCCAACAGACCCATGCATGAACTTGTACTAATTTATGCCAAAGGTGGCGCTACCGAGCAGTGAAGGAGGCATGACATTGACCTCCCTAACTCACACCATGTATTAAAACCACTTCCAAGTGGGCCATAGATCTAAACGTGAAAATCAAAACAACAAACTTTCTAGAAAATATAGGAGATTATATATAACTTCATGATCTGGGTCAAGAAAATACAGTATTTCTTAAATAGGACACAAAATGTTCTTATCTTAAAGGGAAAAAAATTTAATTTAACTACAATGAAAATGAAAACTTCTATTTATCAGACAGTACTATTAAATGAGTAAAAAGCTACAAATTGAAGAAAAGGTCATATGCAAAATATTTTTTTAAAACTCTTAGGAAACGATTAAAAAATGTGGGCAGCCCAATAGAAAAATTAGCAAAAGATTTTAAAAGACATGTCACAAAGAAATCCAAATGGCCTATGAACATGTGAAGAGGTGCTCATCTGCCTTAGGAATTGGGAAAACAAAATAAAATTATAAGCAATAAATGATGGTTAACACCATTCCACAGATATATCAAAACTACTGAACTGTATACTTTAAATGAGTGAATTGTATGGCATGGAAATTACATCCAATAAAGCTGTTATTAAATTTTTTAAAAAACACAAGCAAAATTAGTGCACATCTACCAAAATGACTAAAATTAAAAAGATCGTGTTGGTGAGAATATGGAGCAATTAAAATTCTTAACCACTCCTGGTGGGAGTATAAATTGGTACAACCACTTTGGAAAATAATTTGGCATAATCTGTTGAAGTAAGAAATATGTAGATTTATAATCTAACAAGTCATCTCTGAGGTATAAACCCAACCAAACACATGTATATATTCACCAAGACACATGTAAAAGAACGTTCACAGCAGTATTACTCATGAATGCCAAAAGTTATAAATAACCTAAATGTCTGTCATCACTAGAATTGATAAAAACCATAAACTATAGTACACACAGTAAAATACTACCCAGCAAAGAATATGAATACACTTCAGCTAGATGCAACAATACAGATGAATCTTACAAAACTCATGAGCAACATAAGCAACTAAACTATGTCTACAGATGCCCTCATAGGTAGTAAAACTATGAAGGTAAGCAGTCAAGATTACCTAAAAGTCAAGATATTGATTACATTCAGCAGATGCAGAGGCAATTATGTCTGGAAAGTGGCACTTTGGCAATACTGTATTCTATTTCTTGATCTAAGTGGTGGTTACATGAGATGTACTTTGTGATAACTTACTGAGCAGTATACTTAACTTATATGCATTTTACTGTATGTGATGTACTTTGCAAAATAATTTTTTTTTTAAATGAAGTCATGAAAGAAGTTGTTGAGGCTCCCAGCATCCCAGGCATTAAGCCATTCACCCTCGTTTTTTACTGTGGCTAGTGGAGCCAGTGTCCGGGCTGTCTGGGTGGATGGCACTCAGCCAAGCCTCGCCCTGCTGTGCCTTGTGTCTTGCCCACTGCCCTGACCTCAGGATGGGTCTAACAATTCATCTAGCACTTACCAGCATCTCTAGGTAAGAGAATGGAGTATCCTGACTGCAGGATTATAACTCAGTCCATGTTAGAGACTCCATGTTCATGTCTCCCCACAATTCCTGTTAGAACCTGAACCCCCAATGGGATGATATTAAGAGGTGGACCTTTGAGAGGTAATTAGGTTTAGATGAAGTCATGAGTATGGAGCCCCCATGTTGAGATTAGTGTCCCTATAAGAAGAGAAAAAGAGCCTTGTCCCTCCACCCTCTTCTCTGTCCGCTCCTCTGTCTGCATACATGCACCAAGGAAGGCCATGTGAGGACATAATTAGGAAGAGAGCCCTCACCAAGAACCCAACCATGCTGGCACCCTGATCTCAGATGTCCAGCCTCTAGAACAGTGAGAAATAAATGTTTGCTGCTGAAGCCTCTCTGTCTATGGCATTCTGTTGTAGCAGCCCAAACTGACTGAGACAGTCCATGAAGGGTCCCTTCCAAACAGCCGGGGGAAGATGAATTCTGGCCCCAGAGCACCCTTTCACACCCTGGCCCGGGGATAGAGGCCAGCCTTGTTCCTGGCCTGTGTGCGAAGTGAGTTTCTTCCTTGCTCACCTACTTTTACATCTGGCCTTGATCACTGCTCCCTCCAGCCCTCAAACAAGGAAAGAGTTTGAACCCTACTCAGTTTCCCTAAGGAGCCTCTGCTCCCATGTAAACGTAAATGGCTGTGCAGGCACCCAGAGTCTTCCCAACTTGTCTGGCAGCGTCTGAGCTCCACCTGTCTACACCGTCAGAGCATCTGTCTCTACATGTTTCCTTTCCTACCCACGATAAAATAGATACGATTATCTTCTTTGTGCACCTAAGGGACAACTCCAGAGAAACAAAGCAACTTGCCTGTGACTACACAGCTAAAGAATAATAATACCATAATTTCTGTTATTATTACCTATTGCATATTTTCTATGTGTCAGGCACTGTTCTAAACACTTTGGTGTGTATTCATTTTCTAATTCTTCCAACAACTCCATGAGATAGGTACTTCTATTGCTCCCATTTCACAGTTAAGAACATTGAGACACAGAAAGACTAAGTAATTTTTTCAAGGTGTCATAATTAGTGAATGGCAGAGTCAAGAAACGAACCAAAACCCTAGCACTCTGGGAGGCCGAGACAGGCAGATTGCTCAAGGTTAGGAGTTCAAAACCAGCCTGAGCAAGAGCGAGACCCCGTCTCTACTATAAAAATAGAAAGAAATTAATTGGCCAACTAATATATATATAGAAAAAATTAGCCGGGCATGGTGGCACATGCCTGTAGTCCCAGCTACTCGGGAGGCTGAGGCAGTAGGATCGCTTGAGCCCAGGAGTTTGGGATTGCTGTGAGCTAGGCTGACGCCACAATACTCACTCTAGCCTGGACAACAAAGTGAGACTCTGTCTCAAAAAAGAAAAAAAAAAAGAAATGAACCAAGCTTGCCTAACCACAAACTTTAGCCAGCAGTTGCCCAGAATTAAAGGGTAAGTTATTTGATTTTCAAGTCTGGACTCAGATGTACCAAGAGCAGGTCACTGTCAATGGAGAAAACACAAAGAGGTCATCCTACCTGTTGCCTGAAGGAACGCCTCCATGTGGCCATGGGACCCGCGACAGGAGTCGTGCAGCCTTCTCCCAGTGTCCAGGCTCGGGGACATTGCAATAGAACAAGATTATTTAACGAATTATCTTCTTTTCTTTACACTACTCTAGCTAACATACTCCATTTCCAGTAGGTAGTCTTGATGATCATAAGATTTTACTTAACAATTTAAGAAAAACCTTCAGATTCAGTTCTTTGGTTTTCTGGGCTCCTTTACACAGGCAATCAGTTCACATTTTTGTGAGTGATCTCCAGCTTTAGGAACTACCCTTCCTTTTTCTCTCTTCTTTGGTATTATCTTGGTCCTCTAGTATAAGCGGTGGCTCTGTACAGCTCTGCTGCTACAGATCTCAGCAATGAACCGGAATGCTCCTAGACTCAAAGCACGAGCCCCATCCTTGCCTGGGGGATCAGCCTACACTTCTGAAGTTGAAGCAGTTTCTGTTCTAGTATCAAGTAATTATAGCTAATTATCCTTTTTAACTATCCCTGTTCTGCACTGAAGATACTAACTAAACAAACATAACACTAGGCTGCTAAACAGATGATTGAGAGATGGAACATTAGATAAAAACCACCATAGGAGGAACAATTTACCATCACAGATTTTTAAAGGAAATAGTGACCTTAGGATAAAGATAG